TTGACAATGTAATGGAACAACAGTTACTATTTTAAAACTAATTGTATTAGATCTGAGTGAAATCCCCATACCTCATTATGAATCATTAGAAGGCTGCTATTTTTATAAATTAACATTACTTTGACTTTTATTATTAAAGTTGCCAACTTCAACAATCATGTAAGGGTCTGATAGCTTTTTTATTCATTGCTTTTCTCAAAAAAGAACACCAGTCCTACACTCAAGAAGGGAAAAAGAATCCCTCTGTGGTATGACATTGTATGGACAGGTACTTAGCATTAGAGAAAATGTATACTGCAAAAAAGGGAACAGAACTATCAATGTCCAGCACATGACATGTGCTGTGGCCAGTAGGCCATTTAAAGTAGATTTTTCTTTTTGCTCTGTAGTAGCCAATGTCAACCTATATTTTCTTCAGGAGAGAAAATTTTTTGTGGCATATGAGAGGGACAAGAATCCTCATTTTGTTCATGGTTTTTTCAGGAAGACATGGTTAACTGACAGCTTAATAGCTTTCAAATAGACTTCAGTTAACTTTAATTTAAAGAAGTGAATAGAGAAGGAATTTGAAATTGCAGCATGGTATGGCCTAAGAGTCACTGCTACTAGTGTTGAACTTGGCTTAGTCATCTTTGTGGGGATACTTAGATATTGTAATAGTTGTCTCATGACAAGTCTATTTGATAGCAGGTAGTTGTAACAGCTCCTGATCGTAATTTCACCTATGAAATTAACAGCTGCTTAATTAGGGCTCAAGATGATTGGAAAGTTGTGTGTGTGTGACACTGAGGATGGGAAGGAGCTAGGACAGGATAATTGTGTTCCTTAAAGGATTAAAGCATTCAGATCTTCCCTGTGCTCATGCAAATTAACTACATACTTCTGTTTTCGTTTGTTTGGTCATGTTTGTCTTCATGAGAGCTGTGAGATTTTGGATAGTTTTGAAATGAGGCTCAGATGCTGAACTGCCAAAATAACATCCTGATTACCTAACAAAAATCATACTAGGCAGCTGCAATGTCTGCCAGCATGTTTCTCGTTTTCTCAAAAATAAGGAGTTTTACTGCTTCCAACACCACAGTTGAAGCCACTGCCTCACACGTCGGGTTCCTCCCCTGGCTTGATCTGAGAACTTTGATTCCACAAATATGACATGCCCTAGGATGACAAGAACAGCTTGAGTGAGCTGTTAAAAGCTCTATGAGGCCAAGTGTGGCCCTCAGACACTGGAGGAGAAGGTCCTCTCAGGACAGCCCATTGCCCATGGGAAGCGTGAAAGCCTTCATCTTCAGTGACTTCCAACTACATCTCTTCTGTTACTGATTTGAATGAACTAAATATCATGAAGAAGAATATCACCTGATTCCAAGGGCTAAAAGAAATCTCACCTCTTGGGATCCACGATTTTGTAGAGTTTTCCATTGTGAGTCTGAGTCATACTTTTACTACTTGATAAAATGTAAACTTCACCTGTCGAGAGAAACAACAGTAAGCTAATTCACAGCATGACACTGTTGCCTAGCAATTACTACTTACCACCCTGTCTATCATTTATATCTCCATCCCCCACACCAAGGAAGACCACTTGCCTAAAGGTTATGGCAGCATCTCACATCCAGAATGCAGCCAATTCTAATCACTTCTTTCCATATCCTACTCTGACTCCTACAGCAGCGAATAATATCTCTCACGTGGATTATGGCAACAGACCCATGACACAGCACTACCTTATTTCCTCCTTGTTCTATGTTTACTCTCAGTGTTTACCCTCTAGCCATCCTTTTGGCACTGGGAATTGAACTTAGGGCTTTGTACTTGCTAGGCAGGTGCTATGCAGCTGAGCTACATCCCTGGCCCAGCCATCCTTTCTGAAAGAGTTAGATCATGTACGCTATATCAACTTTCTTTGTTCCAATACCCTCCAATGACTTCTTGTCTCTCAGAGCAAAATCAAGACCCAACAGTAGCCCATTTAGTCTCCTGCTGCTGCTCTGACCTCATCTAAAACAGTTTGCCCCTTGTTTACCCTGTTCTGGTCTCACTGGCTCCTTGTCCTTGAATATGTGAGGCCAATTCTATCTCTGGATAATGTCTGTCTCAGGCTCCTATAGTCTTGTGGGTCTCTTCAAGGTTTCTTCCTTTAAGATTGAGCTTAAATCTTAGTTTTTCTGAATGTGCTACTTAAAATTTCACCTGCTAGACTGGGAATGTAGTTCAGTGGTAGAACTGTTGCCCAGCCTGTATGAGGTCCTAGGTGCAATCCTCCAGTACTACAACAAATAATAAAATAAAATAAAATAAAACTGCATCTTATCCAATTCCTCCAAGTCCCTCTTCACTACTAGATTGCTTTAAAGCACTGGTTAACATACAGACCATATATGTATATATAAATCGCTAGTGTCCTCCTACTTTACAACATAAATTTCATAACAGCAGTTCAGATTTTTTGTCTCTTGATCTGCCCCTGAATCCCCAACACCTAGAACAGAGCTTATCACAGAATAATGTACAGCATTCATCTTCCACAAACACATTGTTGAAAGAATACATTTTATCTTGATTCATTTCTGCCCAAGACTGAAAGTCTTGGTTAACCCAAGTTATTAATGCTAATTAATAATTTGAGGTCAGATGAAATAGACATGTTCATTTTAATATTTTGCTTTAAAAATATGTTAGGATGCATTAACATAAATATGGGAGGGATGGAAAAAGACAGGGACTCTATAACTCCTCCCATCAAGCTATTTTCATTTAGGAAAGAATCAGCCTTGTCTATTACCAGTTCTTCCATATAGGTCAGCATAACATAATAGAATACATGAACAGAAAATTAAAAACTATTTATGATTGTATGTTTACAAGGTTTTAAAAATTATAACTGGTTCCCACTTATGAAATAGCCCTTCACTTATTATACATTGCCCTATTCAATTTTTATTTGTGTACCAAGCACACATAAATACTTTTGTATTCCTGAAAAGGATGTCACAAGGTTCATACTAAAGACAGACTCCATAGAAAAAATAAAAATGAAGTTATAAAGCAAAGGAATCTTTATTTTGCCAATAGTTTATTAGCTTATCTCTTTCAATCTTTACAATAAAGACATCTTGATTTTACTATTTAAAATGTAACACACATGTATGATTTTTAGCATTTGGAAAGTTAAAGATTTTATATGCTTTATATTTTGGTTCTGTTCACAAAACAGAATACTATTACACTACACAGACTTTTGGAATATTTTTTACAATGATAGGGATGCTAATATGATGGTGGATGAGTAGCCTTTCTAGCATGTCTGGGAAAACAAAAATGGTTCAATCACAATATGCACATATTCACCTTTCACTCTGTCACAATTTAATAATTTTTAAAATCAGAGATGGAAGATGAAATTTAAGTTATTTTACAGATTATGTTTCTGCTCTTTGGGAGGGTTAGAAGATCCTAAAGGGAAAGCTAATTGTGAAAGTTTTCAGAGCTGGAACAAGATTGGATGGACTTCTTTCCATCTCTGTTCCTGTAGCTCTGACTTACGTCTTACACATTTCATAAATCTTGTCTGAGGCCCTTATTAATCTAAGTGAATGGAATTATTTCTAATGAATTCTTCATTTAATATAAAAAGAAAAACAATGCGGACTTTTACAGAAAATACTCTAATTTATGTAAGAAGCATGTACTGTTCTCTTTCTATGCCTTCTTTATCCACTTCTGAGCTAAGGATATATAATAGCCATAGTTAAAAAATCAATGTTAATCCTTATAATTTAGAGTAGAGAATAAAAATTCTTGTTCTGTTGATTCATTTTAGTTTCAATTTCTTCTTGTTCCCTAAAGCTACATACATTTTGATAAACATGCCAAAACATATGGTATCCATGGATTGTCTGTAAGATAATTGCTATTTTATTGAAAAGATTTATAACTCAAATTATTTTGTACAAATTTCATGCTGCAATGGACAAGAGATAGAGAGACAGAGGGAAAAAATAAATTTTAGATTTTGATAATTGTTCTATTCCAAGACATGTGGATAAGGGGAAAGGTTCCCAGATAAAGGATTAATATATTACTTTTTTTTTGTATTTAAGACAGGGTGTACAGGGTCTCACTATGTAGATCAGACTCATAGTGATTCGCCTATTTACAGCCTCCCAAGTGCTGGGATAACAGGCACGTGCCACCACGCCCCAATCAATCAACATCTCAGCATGCCCCAGGGGTGGGGCTGGCACAGCAGGCCCGGGGATCAAATACCTAGTCTGCCTAAACAGGTGCTTTAATCTGCTGAGCTATTTGGTTGGCCCCTAAAATATTACTTTGATAGATAATCAGAAATATCATCAGGCATTTTGATAGTTTTTTTTCTGGAAGTTTGCAAACCTTTTTCTTGCTCTTGTCTATTATTCTTCTTTACTAATTTTATTATTTCTAGAATGGAATTAAGATTCTAAGACCCTCAGGAGAATATTCTTGGAAAAGATTATGTAACTGGACCACCTTTAATCTCTCCGGTAGGTCATCATTGCTGGGTTACGTTCCCAACAAATGGGAGATGAGACTGTTGTTCTTCAGGGTGGAGTACACCTTCCTGAGCAAGGAAGTAAGAGTGGAACTTAGTGGAAGTCACAGAAGTAACTTATACTGTACCTAATTCATCTTCTCCAAATCCCAAGATGTGACCCGAAAAGTAGCCTCTACAGGACCCGCTAGTGCCAAGGCACAGTGGTTTTTCTTGCCATTGTTTGGTCACAGGACTTTGCTGAAGAGTTAAGAAATTCCTACAACAAAAACATAGTGTCAATCTACAATAAGAACTTTTGCTTGGAGATCACAGTAAAATGTTTGAAATAAAATAGCTGCCACAGACCTGACTTCCCAAAGGAAAAAATAATATAACCCATCCTGAGTGTAAGTCCATGTGTGAAATTCTAATAGGCGAAGAGCATGCTAAAGATATTTTGTTCACGGGTGAACTAAAGTACCTGTGTATAAGAAAGGCCCCTTTCTTAATCCAGAGGATGATACAAAAATTTAGGCTCAAATTTAATTTTCTAGTATTCCTATGTATAGATACAAACTTCATTCTATTGCTCAAAGTCTTAAAAATCTGGTAAAATAAAAGAAATTACAGTCTCCCAAGATAGTTTTAAAATATTTTTTATAACTCATGTAAAATATGTTTCAATTTATTAATTGTCATGGTAAATTGCTATTGAGGATGAAGGGACGAGATTATATAATATGAAATGTCCATCTAAAGACTTGTATGTTTTTAAAAATTACTTTATGAACTTGATCAAGTCTTTTGAAAGGCACTGCTTTGAAAATCCTTCATTGAATCTTCCATATATAGTATAACAAAAGGAAATAATATGTATGCATGTTCTAGGTCGGAGGCCCAATGGGGGGCAGTCATTTTTGTGTGCTTTGTGGCACTGTACCAACTTATCACAAATATGTCATTTGGTACATGACCCAATAGAGAGGAAGCCCCTGATGTTTGTCGCAGGATGTATGGGGTGTCAAGAAGCATACCCATTGCGGTCTCCAAATACGTAGCTTCCATACAGTCTTTCAGATTGGCAGCCTCGGTAAACAAACCCACCAACCAATGGACCATTACTGAATGGCTTGAATTCCAAAAGTGATGGCTCACTTTCTGAAAAGAAGCAGAACATTAGATTAAATGAAACACATTTTCTTGAAGTAAAAATAATAGAGGCCAAAAAACAAATGTAAAGTAATTGTACTCTGAAATATGTGTCGTGATGGATCCTTCCTCTGTGTATGTACTGAAAAAATTAGTCTTTGTTTAAATATGATAAAAACTTAAAGATCTCTGCATTCAACTTAATGAAATGAAAGTGGGTTGCAAATACTTGCCATTGTTACAACTGACATGGTACACTAGGTTTTCAATAGAATTTGAATCTAGATATTTTGGTAATTTTAGAATCAAAATACTTTTAAAAACAATTTTCAATATTTCTTTTAGAAATGCTTTTGCTTATTATATTTAATAAACTGAACCAAACATGTATAACTTATATAAAATATTTAAAAGTTCACACTTTAATGAAAGTGAAAGCATGGTGCCTAAAAGGCTATGAAAATTGTATCTATTGTGCATTTTAAAATGATCCCTTAGTCAAGTAATATCTTCACTTGATATATCCTTAATAGTTTTGTTTGTAGAGTTGTATGGTTAATAATCCATGCCAATAGTTCCTTTTGAATTACAAGTGTGTAGTCCTATTTCCCAGTGTTTCCACGTCAGCTAACACGTACTTGAGCGTATGCACACTAACTGCAGTGGAAGAGCTCTAATGCCAGTTACAAATTAATCTGAAAATAACTTCATCATATTTAATGTCAAATAACTCACCATCAACAAGCAGCACTTTACCAAAAACTTTTGTGGAAAGACAGTAATTTTAAAGCCCTCTGCTCCTCCTTCCATGCGACTATAGTAAGCAGATATAGAATAAAAACTAGAAAAGATTAGAGAAGTTTTAAATACTCAGCGCTCCACGCAGCAGCACCACTGAATGATTAAGGTCATGTGCTTTTGCATCAGGGAGCTCAAATCCATCTCTTACCACTTTGTGGCTTGTTATAATTAACCTTTCTGTGCCTCGGTTTCTTCTTCTGTACAATGTGGCCAATGATAGTGCTTACACAGGCACATTCTATGAATGAGATGAGTAACGTTTGTGAAGTGTTTTCTACAAGGGCTGGCATGTGGTAAGCGCTGTGGATGGATGTGATGTGCGTGAGAATTCATAAACGCAGGGTTATTAATACTGCAGATCATTTTAGCTGAATCTCAGCTAATGTGATTATAGAATTTGGTTTAATCTACAGATGCAGCCAGAAGTCCACAAATCTAGTGCCTCATTTGAATTTTTTTTTGAAAACCACATTATACTTTGGTTTGGCCTTCATAAGACACACACACACACACACACACACACACACACACACACGCACACACACAAACCCCTGAAAAAAAAATAACAGAATACCACATGAACTAACACAGCTGGTTAGTTCCTGGTGCTAAATAAATATCTGTATTGAATGAGTAAATAGGAGAAGCAATCAATTTAATAATCTTAATCTACTATGTTCCCTCAATCCTAATAATGTTTAATATATTGCTTCCTTCAAAAGGAATATACTAAAATATTAAAAATACCAAATGTTCTTGCACTTTATTACCCAGTTTTATATTTTGTGTTCTCTCTAAATATTTTAGTAATCATGTTATTAAAAATCATGTTTAAACATCCCATTCCCATACCTTGTTTTCATAAATCAATGACTTACTTTGTCTAAAATAAACACTTTAAAAAAACTTACATTCTTACATAAAATGCTTATACCTTGCCTAATTGCTGATGCTAGCATGTGGGGCATTGAGAAATTTCTCACATTTAACATTTAGTGCTGTTTATAAAATGTTTGGACAAGTTCTGCCTTATTAAATTAAGTAAACAGAAGTTATTCATCTTGATTCTTAGATGAGAATCACACAAGCAACTTTTGAAGCAATTAAGTTATTTGGATCCATTGAGAACCCTGGGATCCACAGGACATGGAATTATCCCAGTAGAATTCGGAAGGCCTGCAAGAGCCCCAAGCGAGCAGTAAACTCTCTGGCCACTGTTAGGCAAGTGTTTTTATGTTTTCTCAGGTGCTAATTTTGCAGAAATCCTTTCTCCTTCAATTAAGATGCTGAAACTAAACTCAAACTAATGCAAAATCAACAAATTACGCTTGACTTACCATAATCTTTTCCCTTTATTATCTGTAGGATTCTGGCTGATCTGTTTTTTCCATTGGAATCTGAACAAAGTATTGTTAAATTGATGTTTATATCAGTGGGATGTCGATCCACAGCACATCTGCATAACAAAAGAGGTGAAAACATTTTAATTCATTTTTTAAAAATTTTCTTTTTTACTTTCTTTCTTTTTTTTGAGGAACCAGGGGATTGCACTCAGGCCCTTGTGCTTGCTAGGCAAGCGCTTATTCTACTGAGCCATCTCCCTGGCCCCTTTACCCTTTAATTCCTACTGGGGTATCTTTCAAACTCAGCCTGGGGATTCCTGACCTAGAACAAAATGCCTTGTGGACTAGCAGAGGATCCTATGGACAACTCAGTTTTGATTTGTTAGAAGTTACTGAAAGAATCCTCTTGATATATTTGTTTATTCTGTTGAAGCTTAATTACCTCTGGAATACATTTCTAAGTTTCTTTGAGTAGCTCCTTTCATTATGAATGTGCACATTGTCTCAAAACAATTGTCGGCCTGTTGTTAAGGAGTATTTCATGTACAGTATTTGAAGCTGGGCATGGTGGCGAACACCTGTAGTCTGATACTGGGGAAGGTGAGGCAAAAAGGTCATGACTGAATTCAAGGTCATCTTTGGCTACACAGCAAGATCTTGTCTCAAACACAAACAAAGCAAAAAATTTGGTAAATTATAATGAATACTAATTAATGTCATCTTCAACTCACAACTACAATGTGACATTAAAGGATTAGTCCTGTATTTCCTAGATAGATCACTACATTTTAATGCTCAGGATACTCTAATAAAGGAAAAAATATGTTCCAATTCATGGAATAAAATTAACTGCAGCCAGTCCCTGGAGGCGCTTATACATCAGTAGTCTTCATGTTCTTCACCCTTCATCTGGGAGTGCTGGAATATCTCTGATTTAAGCCTCTGGCTTCAGTAGGACAGGAATTGCTTGAATGTTTAAATTGGTAAAGTTCTGGGGTTAGGGGAAGAATAAAGTTGAATAACATAATTTTTATAGTTTTCAAAAATGTGGAAAACAGGACCTCATTGTCTTTAGCATTAATCTTGACACTGTTGACATTTGGGGCCAGTTCACCTTTATTTGGAGGAGCTGTCCTGTAAATTACGGGATGCTTGGAATCATCTCTGGCCTCTACAACTAGACCACTTTGGCTTACTCCACCCCCATCGCCAGTTGTAAAAAATAAAAAATGGATCCAGACACTGCCAAACATTCCCTAGAGACAGAATCATTCCCCTGAGAATCATTGTTTTAAGCTAACAAAAATCATTAATCACATACGAACTGAAATCATTGGATCTATTAAAAAATTAAAAAAACCTTGAACGTGGGTACTAGGTCTTAAGAGACATAAGAGTCAGTAGTAATTATTGAAAAGCAAAACAACACAGCTGTTGTCTCCAAATGATTCCATTGGTAGGGAAGCTGCCCCTGGCCTGCTAAGGATGGGTGATCTGGCTGGGTGGCAACAGTCCCTTTATTGTCCTCTGTAACTCAGTGACTCACAAAATACAATGCCTGGCAGGGATCAGGGCAAAGACATATTGTGATTTAAGGTGGAACTAAATTCACAGGGGGTAAGAAAATTTTCCTGCATTGTTTTTCTTTTGAAGATGGAGAAACTATGGGGAAAAGAGGCTTGCCTTGTTTCCAACTAGAAGTGGCAAATCTAGATGGAAAGGCCAACTAGCTCCCCCAGACATAGAATGGCTAGAGGCTGAGAGTTAGCTCTGGCTGCACACCAGGTCCACTATCTGACCCTCCTAACCTTCAGATGTTATATAAAAAAGGGGGTTAGTGAAACTGAGCAGGATGGTAATATGATGGGGGCTATGTATCACTGTCCTTTTGTCCAAACCTGTAGAATGAATGTACAGAACAATGTGGAGTCTAGCTGATTGTTGTGCAGTACTTGTTCATCGATTGTAATAAGCATACCATTCCATGAGGAAAGATAATAATACTTGTGCAGGGTTAGGGGTTACTATCCTAGAAGCATCTGTATCTTCTGTTTAATTTTGCTGTTCCAACCTCCAACAGCTCTAAAAATAGTGTATTTAAAGAGAGGTATGAGGTGTGGGTAGGGGATGGATGTCATCTACCTCCAAATACTGCTGAAAGTTTAAAGGGGAGACTGTCCAGGGATAGCTATTCAACACCCTGCAGCAAGGTGCTTACAAACAGTTTCATTTTAGCTAAATATTATTTTAGTTTCTTTTCTGCTTTATTAAATCTTTTTTTTTTCTCTCTCTCTCAAAATCCACCTGGAGGGAGGAAGAATATAAAAACCGACTTTTCCTTCAGCCTGCTGCTGCCAGGGGCTGTAGGGCTCCAGGGCACAGGCAGCTCACCACACGTATGGTCTATAAAGCCTCTCATCCTGTAGATCTGCACCACAGCTCACAACCCCCAGGCAGGTTGCAAGAAAGCTCCCGTGGGACCATGGTGACTCAGGCTGCTCTACTTCAAAGTGCTGCTCCATGGTGGCATCTGTGAGTTGTGAGCTATAGGAATGGAATGTGACAGTTTCCTCCACATCCGGAGCCCACCTCAAATATTCCCCGTCGAACAGATTTTAAGATCGGCTGAGATGCCAAAAAGGAAATGAACTGTAGACTTGAGCTTTGATGGAGGGGAGATGATGGGCATGCGGGATTAGAAAAATAAAAAGTTGGAGAAATATTCACCTTGCACATAGTGAACACTCAATAAACATTAAACAGCAATAATAACTTAGCTAGTAAATGAATGATTGTGGCCAGATGCCACTTAATAGGTTATAATAGACCAAAGACCAGATTGGGCTTTCATCATAGAATTTCTATATTATACTTCATAGTATTTTTAAGTGTACTTAAATTTCACATGCTACATGCTTCTTAGTTTTCCTTTTTATTAGTTCACTATTAGTATACAGTACCAAACAGGTAATATAAATGATTTTATCTATGTAATTATCTTTCAAGTAAAAGATATTGATATTTAGCTCAGCTCCCTGAAAATCAACATTGCACCGATCTGATTTTGTGAGAGGCTGTGACAGGAAGAACTCCCAGGTGTCACAGACTTCTGTTGTGCTTTACCTGTAGATTGTTGTTTAATCATTACAACACTGTTACATTTGCAAGCACTATGGTTTAATGTGTCTGGCAAAGTTCTGTGTTGTAAACTTAACCCCCAGGGCAACCAGCAGCACCAAGGGGTGGGACCTTAGGAGGTGAATGGGTCATGACAGCTCTGCCCTGAGGAACGGATTCACGCTACCAGTGCAGGAGCGAGTTCCCGATAAAACGGTCATTTTTCCACCTCTCTCTCCACCATGGGCTATGTACAGCAAGGAGGCCCTTACAAGTTGCTGGCGCCATGCCTTTGGACAGTCCTTGGAACCTGAACCAAATAAATTCCTAGCATGTATAAATCACCTAGTCAGTGGTATTCTTTCATAGTGGCATAAGACAGATTGAGACAACAGGGAATATAAAATTTTGAAGTGTTTAAATAAACTAAAAGCCATATTAAATCCTCAAATCATGAATCTCAGTCATAATGCTAGTTCCATAAAGTTTAATTGTAAGCCCCCCCAAAATTTTGAAGTTAATTTTTCTCTATGAGTTTTTTCTTTGTCTGATCTTCTTTTTCAATCTGCTTCTAACATGAACAGAACAAAGAGAGCCAAATACTTGCCTAGATAAAAACCTGGTATGATGTTAGGAACCCAACCTTGGAAACCACCCTTGGCTGCTCTGTGACTTGCCACCATCTTTCTTTTCCTACTTCCCAACCCCAGGCCTTCATTAAGTAGGCAAGAGAGGAGCCTGCGTTCTCACCTGCCTGGGTCGTGGAGCCCATAGGCAAACACTTCTGGAGGCTGGTTGGTGCTGTTGAAGTGTGGATTGCTTTGTGGGATGGAGTAAGGGACAGTGCACATGTCTGTGTCCACGTCCAGCCGTAGCACCGAGCCTGTGAAATCACTGCGAAAATGGGGAAGGGATAAGCGTTTCCTGCTCAGGTTATACCTTCACCTAGACTATGTGACAAGGTTGCTGCATGTATAAAAGCCACATCCCCTTGTGTGAGACAAAATCATTCACATTCCAGGTCCCATATGGTTAGAAATGAAACCAGTACATTCTGGTTCCGTGTGAGGTGCTGAACTAGATGCAGCCTGAAGGTGGCCAAGTCCTGGAGCATCAGTAGCACGCTGTTCTTCTGCATCTGTCCCCTTTAATTTTGGCCCATCCATGTAATTTACATCTCCCAGGATGCAGAGTGGCAGGAAGTGACACATGTGCAGGGATGTGCACTTCTCAATGCCAAGTACAATAGGGGAAGCCCCTGCAGCACAGAACTGCACAGCAGTAACTCATTTCATGACAAAAGGAAACATAGGCAAAATATGGAATCCCTCTGCGTATGTTGACAAGAGAAGTTAACTAGGTATGCAAGCAATGTTCTTCAGAGGTGGTTCTTAACTCACTGCTTCAGACCCTTTCTCCTGACAGTATAAACATTTTAGCATCCAGAGGTACTGTGGTCCAGTTTTTACCTTAACCCATCCATTTCTTCCATATCATCCAGTGTGATCATCCCATCCCCGAGAATGATATACAAAAAGCCTTCAGGACCAAAGAACAGTTGTCCCCCCAGATGCTTTCTGTGGAGCTCTGCAACTTCAAGAAACACTCTTGCTGTTCTCAAATCAACTTGATGGGGATTTTTCCTGCATCATGGGGAGGAAAAGATACCAACATTGCTAAAGATGTAAGGTGAACACACTAGAGAGAAAATAGTACACAAATAAGAAAGCAAGCATTTGGCACGCGAAAACAAACTTGCAAAGAGCACATAGAAGTTATCGAAACATTATAAAAATTTCTAAACTTTAGAAATAGTGTTTAAATTGAAAAATAATTGAGGGAAAATACTCAATTCCCACAATTGCCCCAAGATAGCCATGTAGGGTTTTAGGTAAGGTAGAGATTTTATTTGAATCACTGCCACTATATGGCTACTTATTTGTAAGTTCTAAATCAAAACGTTATGATGTGATGAAGGAAAAAATAAGATCACAGAATTTGTACGTTTTGAGGCATTTTAGTGATACCTGGATACTGTGTATTCCACAACCCTAAGAATGTGGTCATGAGGCCCCATGGCCCAGCGCTCTTGGTTGGTGGTGTAAGACACATAGAGCTTTCCATTTTTCTTGTAATTGGGATGGAATGCAAGGCTTAGCAGTCCTCTTTCATCTCCTCCCTGCAGTCAAATGAAAAACACAAAGAATTGCGAAGTTAATTATGTTCTTTATTATGTTTCAACTGGAACCCCAAAAGAGTTTCTTTCTTTCCTCTAGATAATCTTTGCCCAACTGCTCTTCTTTTCTCCTTGTCCACTGCACAAAAAGGATTATAAAACATTTATTTCGTGGAACACTTTAAGGGTTAGAACAAGACAATTGTCTTGGGTGGTTATCTATGCACAAGAGCCTTATACCACTTTTGTCAAGTGATTTGTGTATGTAATCTTGGGAAGCTAGGAAGACAAGTTTAAATGCTGTGAAGAATTCTTTCCTGGGTTACTAGGTTGCTTGTAGTTCATGGAAGACAAATAAAAAGGTTATAATCAACAGCCACTTCTAATCCAAGTCCTCAAAACCTAAAACACAGTGTGGGCTGCCAACTCCCACTGTCTTGGCAATATGTTTAGAAAACAGTTAAATTGCTTGTGTAATATGTAAACCTTTGTTTCACCCAGAGGCATCTACATCAGTTGTTACGACGATGGTGGTCTCTTCATCACAGCTAGGTAACAGGCAGCCTTGGCCTGTCTATATAGAACGAGGTATTTTTACATGCATCCCTTCCCTGGATAAAGGACGAAAAGTGGGAAGAGAGTGAAAGGCCAGGGCTGGGGTAGATGGGGGAGAAATACTAGAGAAGAAAGCGGACACTAGGAAATAAAAGAAAAATCCCAAACAACTTTCTTTTGTTATTACATGAATGTCAAGGATTGTATACATTAGGCATGCCAAATGCTGTAACAATGAAAACATCATCATGTTCTTAAATAGAAAGGCATTTTATCTTTTCTGCTAGTTCAGCTTGTTGAAATTCAATATGGCCTTAGCATTTGTTTTATCCCACTAGTAGTCTAGGAATTTCTATAATGAAATCAAAGCATCTAAAATTATCTAGGTTGGAGACTTAAATTTCATATTCTAGTAAGCCAGTGAACATTTTCTCAGCAGCCTGACGAATTACCCACAGTGGGGAAGAACGTGGCAGCAAAGCTGAGCGCTGTGAAAGCATAACTGTGCAGAATGCATCACCTACTGATTCAGTCAAACACCAGGCTTCTCCCATGGCACAAGCTGCCTGAAGGTCCTTCAGAGCCGCTACCGGAGGAAACAAAGTCCTGTAGTCCTGCAACTCCCTTTATAAAATCATTCTTGAGAGTTCAAGCACTCTCGCGTTCACCTCTCCTGGAAAGCACATGTTACTAGCAAAGCACACAACTACTTGTAGCTTGTAGGCTGCAGAGATTTCAGAATTTAAAGTTTTAGGGCAGGCCAAAGAGCTCAGCGGATTAAAGCTCCTGCAAGCAGGCGCAGGGCAGAGAGTTCGGTCCTGGACCTTCCAGCCACGCTGGCTCCGGGCCTGCCTTGAGTGCCCGGGCCCCGCCCCCGCCCCCGAGGCATGCTGAGACAGAAATTGAGACTGGGCATGGTGGTGCACGCCTGCAATCCCAGGGAAGCTGTAAAGAGGCAGATCACTATGAATCTGATGATCTAGTAGTGAGACCCTGAACACCCTGTAGACCCTTCCCTAAAATAAGTTAAAAAAATTAAATTTTTAGGTATAAAATTCATCCAAAGTTTAAGAGCACTACAAATGACAAAATGATTGTAAATATCCAAGAATTACCAAATCATTCTTCACGCATCAAAAATTTTGACCCTTTTGCTGGCTGTGATATGCTTCATTTTAACTTAAATCATTAGCTAAGACAGTAATGACTATGATTAATGAGTGAGCTTCTTCTGTTTTTTTGGGTTACCTTGTTTTGATGATTTCAATATTAGCTGGATGTTGTTTTTCTTTTTATATCATTATTAAATAATGTCTCTTGGAGATTTCAGGAGCCGGGACCTATAACTAAGGGTGGACTGTGGCGAATTCTTGGCACATCTAAATCTCCTTGACAGGCTGTCCAAGGAGTCCAGGGAGAGCTTTCGTTTGCAACCAGCCGCCCTTCCAAATGTATTGCTCTCTAACGCTGAGAGTGCAGGCTAAGTGCTGCGTGCCGGCTCACTAAGGTTTGTGCTCACTCTAGGAAGCTTTTGTAGGAAGTAGCTCTTTGTAGTTTTAATCAAGTTATCTGAAGAACGATTTGAATTGGAGAACAATGTGGTCTAAGACTGTGCTGGTTGCTTTCTCAGAAATCAAGAATGTAGATTAACACATTGAAAGAAAACACATGAAAAAACTTTAAATTTATAAAATAGTAGACAGCTGCTCCTTTGGGGCATCCCTGATTAACTTTTGATTATTATGCTTAATCATATTCCAGGTATAAATTAGTACTCTGATTGGTTTGGAAACTCGACTCTTTAAATTATTTGAAGGGAATACTTTCATAACTATCTTGATGTGAAAAATTTAATGTATTATGGAAATATCCTGGACTGTTTCTCAAAATCAGCTTTTGAAATGGTATAACAGGACTCCTAAATGTTCAGAAATTAGGAGGGACAGATATTTCCCTGCTGTGCCAGGAGATTAAAGTATTGATAGTCTCACATTTCACTTGAATTAGCCCTTAAAGTTAGTTAATTTAATTAAAATATGTTACTTGCAAATCATGACTTAACTGTCAAATGCAAACCTAACTTTGAGGCCTGGGTCACTTTTCAAGGACTCTATGGAGATATATGTCCATTGGGCATTGGTGGTCAATGTATAGACTTTGTGATGGGGTCAGTTGGAGGCCACACCACCAGTAATACCACCACACATCCATGGCCCCTGGGCCTTCATGGCTGCTTCCTCTCTACTTGTCACCAAGACTTGTCCTGGCCTGAGAGCCTGAATGTTGGCATCTGGAGCCAGGACTGGCCTGAAGCCCAGACATCCTGGCCTCCTGTTATTCCTTCCTATGATTTTAGCTCCCTCTACCCCAGCTTGGCTGGCTGTGTTCACAGACTCATTCTGTTGGTCTGAGCCTTACTTCCAGAGGCTGCCTTCTCTTCTCTCTCTCAAAAATCTGAAAACTCAGCCTTAGAGGCTCAGCAGAAAGAATCAGCTAAGGCCTGTGCCAGTGACACTCTTCGCCAACTCATTCCCATCATTTTTCCTCATGATAGGTGGCTTTAGGGCTGAGAGTTTATGGGATCAAAGTCATGCACTCTATCCAGAAATATCAAATTAATGAACTGCTTCCAGGTAACGTTGGGGGAGAATGATTGGCATGCTGGCAGAAAGGGGAGAAAAACAGTTATGAACGGAGTGGCAAACAGAAGATTCATGGCCCAGTGGGCCTCAATTTTCAAAGACACTGACTTTTAACCCATACATTGGAGGGCTGTTAATGTCCAAATATTCATATTATACTTTGGACTTCATTAATAGTAATGAACACTTTGTGTTTATGTTGTCTTTCTGGGAATGTACAGACACATTGCTAAAATGAAATTGGAGACAATTGGGCAACAAACATTTTACAGACAGTGACTTATGGTTTCCTCTATCTGGGTAATTTCTTAAATTCCATGACTGGAGTCTGACCCAAGCATCATGAACTGCCATGACATCCTCCCTCTCCCTTTCTTCAGCTCTCCTAATACTACTCCGACTCTGGCCAGTTCCACGCCAAGCATAAATAAACGTTCAAAACCAGGCTGTTAGATGATTTGAAAATAATGTTTCTACACATACACTTTAGGACTTAGAGATTGACTCATCTTTCAGAAAAAACCGTGAATATCTTCTCAGGCATTTAAAATAAGTAATTAACTACATGCCCTTCAGCTTACAGAAGCAAGTTCACAGGGGCCACAAAAAAGGGAAAACCCCAAACACAGTACTGATGGCTTTAATATAAGATCAGGTCTACCCGTAGTTTTGAGATAAACCATTCTTTTGTGAGCAGGTTGTAACCATAGTCAACTAAGACTTCTAGCCTTTTAGGAATAAACAGCAGCATATAGCTGAAAAAGAAAGGTAATCATAAAATGGTTATAACAGAAACATTGTTTATTTTTTCTTTTAGGAGGGAAGTTATGGGGCATTAGTCTTTGTAATTTTATCAGGAAAAAATCATTTTCTTCACATATTCTATATGGTTAACCTACCCTGAATTCTAATTTTTAAAATTAATCTCTTTGTAAAGTAATCTCTTGTAGATGATAGAACTGGGGAATTCTGACCTGAGGGCTAGAAGTATATTACTCATTTTTGCAGTTTTTCTTAGTGACCTTTTGACAAAGTATAGACTAACCTTACTTTCAGCCTTAATGCCCCTGCGACCTTAATTGCCCTTTGTCATCTAAGGTAATTATTCACAGGTTCTGAGCAGTAGGATAAAGGCATCCTTCAGGGAAGGGCATTACTGTGTCTACCATATGGATATTTTAATCTGTTTTTTTTTTTTTTTTTTTTTTTTTTTTTTTTTTTAAAAAAAGGACCTAAGCATTTGTAATTTAATCCTTCTTGGCCATGGCCTTACTGCCCTGAACCCAGTCCGACGGTACTGTGAAAGCAATGAAACACATAATAGTATGGTGCAATGATCAACAAATTACTTATTATTGCATTATCAAAAAAATTCTTGGGGCCGGGGAGATGGCTCAGTAGGATAAGCACTTCCCTGGCAAGTGCAAGGGTCTGAGTTCAATCAAAACAAAACAAAACAAAACAAACCCCTGAAACTTACTCATCAAGTATTTATTGAATACCTACTAGATATTAGGCACTGCTGGGTGTTGGGAAAAATAAATCAGGGTATATCCTTATCCTTGCCCTCAAGGAGTTTATGTCTGGAACCTAATAAATACAAGTATAGTTGTCAGGTATTTTGATCCCACCATTCTTTGGATGTTGACCTTTTGAGAGTTTAAGCAATGCTATATTATTAGAAATCACATGGCTGAAAAGTAAGATGAGAGAGTGGGTAAATATTCTGGATAAATTTTGACAAAATAACCTGCATAATGGTATTTGAGTTTTCCCTAAAACTTAGTGAAGAAAAAATCTTGGCCA